AACCTCGGTTACGAACTACTGGCGTCGGAGGTATTGAGCCACTTACTTGATCATTATGTTCGCGGCGCGGTCTTCTTCCTCTTCTTCGGCCCCTTCGGGGATGCTGAAATCATAGGCAACATCAGTTCGGGCCTGAGCAAGGTTAGCTTGGAAGAGAGACGGATTTGGCTGGTCGTCAGCTCTAAAATTGGGTGGAGCAGAACCGGAAGACATTGCTTCAGGTTCTCTTTCTAAGCGACATATTAAACGAAGAGTTGGTAGGCATCTTTAAGGCGACGTGAGTAAGTAGTACGAGTTTGGTATACCTTCAATTCAATCAGTTACAAGAACATCATGTCGGCAAAGCGGTGCATCAGTTTCAGGGGAACGCCTGCAGGGCCTCGGACGACAGGACTACAGGACTAAGGTGAGCGACGTGCTGATGTCATGGTGAGGTACCAAGGAAGTCTAGCGCGGGACAGCCGCGTCAGGCTGCAGGGAACCACCGAAACGTCCTACTTACCTCCATAAAGGGTCGCTCGTTCTAATGAGTCCAGGTTATAACAGACTTCAGTTCGAACGCCAACGGTTACACGAAGAGCGTGGACGCCGAGTAAAGGGTAGAGTACTTACCCATCTATTGTAGGCGTTCGGTAGAGAAAATAGTTTTTATCCAGAAAAGAGGATCGGGCATGAAGTTCTTGCAGCTTGATGATCACGAGAAGACCTTCTTGGCAGGAAGAACTTCCTAGTGGAGGCTAACCTTGAGGTAAGAAAGTCAATCTTCTCAGCAACGAACGAAAGGGCGGCGTGACTCTATATGGCTTGGCGAGTCCGTCCAGGCGCTTAGTACTGCAAAAGCCGCCAAGGTTTGTGACTCTGAGCGGCTTATAGATGAGAGGGAAACATGGCACGAATGGGGGTGGAGCCGCACAGCAAGGGCGCCAACAAATCCCCTGACCAGGTCATAGATACGCTAGAAGTGCATTGGAGACCGACATGGGACCAGCTTGTCGAAAAGCAGCAAATAATTCCCAGCAGGGTCGGGGAATGCCGATGGCTGTGTCCATGTATTTGTGCGCTTCAAACAAGGTTCGTGATTCTGGCACCTTCCCTCACCTCATTTCTCTGTCCTCGATATCGCACCGCCTGGGCTCACAGGAAACCGCGTTGCCATTCAGGAATAGGATCAGGGTCTCGAAGTGCCGGCCTCCCCCGGGATCGGTTTCGTACGAATCGGTGCAATCCGATTTTGGGTCTTTTTCCTGCGTTTATCTCAAGGGTCTGGTTCTCGGTCCTGCCGCGTCTGCCGGAAACTGTATTATAAAAGCGAGAGCGTTGGCACTCATCAATGCATTCGATTTCCCATCGCTCGTCTCTGCGCTGCCGCTTTCAATAATGTGTCTCCTGCACCACCACCACCACCATCACCACCATACTGCTGCGCAGCGCTGTTGTTCACAACATAACTACCCCCGCGATTCTGCCGCCGCAATCATCATCTCTGCGCCGATGGACGCAAACAGTAGCGGCCCCCAATGCTGCCATTGTGGCTGGCGCGGTGACCACGAGCCGAACTGCCCGTTCAAGATTCCGACGCGCGGGGTATGTACGCTGTTTTCTGTTTCTATTGGTGTTTCTGATGCTTGTATCATGTCTTCTAGCCTGCTCGCCATGATTGATCCCACACCACCACCGATACCCCCACGCTATCTATCCCCGCCGTCGCCGCTAATATTTAGTTGTTCGAATTTCTGATTTTCCCCGCTCATCATACATACATGACATGCTCGTTAATTGCTGTACACGGCCATTTGTATTCTTACTGTCTACTCGGAGAGGGAGGAGGAGGACGGAAGGAAGGAAGGAAGGACGGAAGGAGAAGATCCGCATAAACGTGTTGTACAACTAGCTAATAGGCCTCAATCAACGCCGCTTTTTTGTTCTCTGTGATGCGACGGGATTGCAGGGACGGAGGAGTACAGATAAATAAGCAGTTCTTATCATTCGGGTGCCTAGGTACCTTCCCCAGCTCCGTCATCGATGACCATCGGATACAGATAATCGACGGTATCCGTGGACACACATGGCGGGAGGACAATAAGTAGCTCGCCTCCTCCACGTTGCCCGCTGGAAGATATTTTAGGCTCTGCTGTGCTTTCAAGTTGGCATAATCCGTGTTTGTCCGCCCGGCGATTATCAAAAACTCGAACATGTTACATTCGGTTTGTTGCAGATAGGATCATCATCATCATCATCTCGGGCAACGTTCTTGACCTGGGGTCGGGTTTCGAAATGGTGCGTCGGGCTCTCTCCTGAGAATCTTGCTCGTCGAATCGGATCAAGGTTGAGTCACCACCGATGGATGTGCTTTCGTCCCCACTGAGTTGTAACGGATCCTAGATGAATCAGCGAGTGAGTATCGCCCAATGCGTAAGCATTCTCTGTAGTGAGTGGATAAGAGCTACGGAGAGATCCTGAGATGATTATAACGCGCAATAAGTTGTCGTGAATGTGAACGGCAGTTTGAACTCAGCGCCGTTGAAGGAGGTACAACGATGTAAAGGCTGTAAATGATTGAGGGCACCAATCAGCTTTCAAGTTGGCGAGTACGACAGGATACGATGGCACTGTAATGGCCATTCACCGATATAGATGCTTAGCAGAAACGTGCAAGGCCAGGATGTTCGTCGGGACTGTACAACTCGTATTCAAAAGCAATTCGATGAATCCCCCCCCTCCCCTATTTCATCTTGATCGGGTCCTTTCTCTCCCTACATGACATCACTTACGTAAAGCCTCTCGTGGGTCCTTGCCTGGTCCTTGCACAGCATTCAATACATACCACACCTAACAGCTCTCTTCCACCTTGCCTTTGCGATGGAAGCAGACGCCGCCCAGCTTCTAGATGGTTTGATTGACAGTGCGCCTGTCTTGTGAGTGTTCTCGTTTCTTGTGCGGGTACCGTGGCTTATAGCGGCAGACTCGCAGGCGCGTCTGAAGAAGAGGTGAGCCCGCCGCCGAGGCTTTCTTCCCACACTGGCAACAAGATCTAATCCACCAACAGCTAGATAACCTTAATGCGCGAATAATGGACGCTACGACTGCGCTGAAGCGCACGCGCAACGCTTCGGTGCCCGTGAACAAGCTGCCGCCTTCTGTTTTAGAGGTCATATTCGCGTATTGTCAAGACCTGCTCCCGAATTTTATGCCGTTCCGGCGATACGACTACGATAGCAGTCGATGGACGTCTATGCGCCTTGTGTGTAGGGCGTGGGAAGACGTCATCGCATCGTGCACGCGTCTGTGGAGGATAGCGGATAGCGCTCGTTCGCCTGGGACATTTCTATCTCGGTCGGGGGATAATACGCCGCTCGTTGTGTATTGGGGCCTTCGACGTGGGGAGCCGAGTATAGTAGAGGTGTTAACACCACACGTTTCGCGGATACAAGAACTGCATTTAAATCTCTCCCGCCACCGACGCGAGGCGGTTGATATCCTGCAATCCCTCTCAGCACCTGCGTTGCTCTTGGAGAGCCTCACCATCTACTCCCTCGGACACCTTCCCTCATTCGCACAGTGTCTCCTCCCACCTGCGTTATTCGCGGGACACACACCGCGCCTCAGGCGGCTTACTCTAGAGCACTTTTGTCGATGGCCGCATCATGTGTTCACGGGCCTGACGCATGTGTGTTTGCAGCGTCAATCGCGCGGTTCTCGACCTACGACAAACGAGTTTCTCGATTTCCTCGAGGGATGTCCAGACTTGGAAGAGCTCCAGCTTTTCCGCGCTGGACCGACGTTGGAGGCGGACCCGCCTGTGGAAGAGGGACGACGCGTGGTGCTGGGCAGGTTGAGAGAGCTGGGATGGGGGCGGCTGAGGAATCTCGCGCATGCGGGGAGGTTGCTTGCGCATTTGACGCTGCCTGATGAGAAGACGCGGTTGTATTTCTGGGACGGGAGCAGTTCGTCTGCGTGTTGCTCTATTGGGGGGCTCGTCCCGAAAAAAGACTTGGGGTTCCTCACGTGTATGACCAATGTCGTGGAGTGGCGTCTCATTACTGCGCATGGGTCTACACCGCTCTACGCTACACGGTTTGTGGCATTCGTTGACGGGGTGCTGTACACGCTGGGGTTGCTGAATCGCATGGATGTCGCGGATATTCCAGCGGCGTATGGGGGCGTAGTGAAGAATGTGAGAAAGCTGACGATCTATGATGGCGTGAGCGTGCCGACGGAGACGTGGCGGCAGGTCTTTTTGAGTGTACCGAGGCTGGAGGAGCTGGTTATACGGCCAGAGAGGGAGTTTGATGCCCTGCGCGTCATACTCAATGCTCTATATCGCCGAACCTGGCCTTGGCCTATGCGCATGCTCAAGCGCCCTCCGGATTGCCCAAAGCTCAATACGCTGAGGGTGCAGTGCGCTGCGGGGAGTGAAGCGTTCTTTATCAGCCAATTTGCAAAGGCCAGGAAGAAGCGCGGGTGTCCGATGAAGCGTGTGGAGATTTGTTGGTGCGGGGAGGTGGCGTGTACCGGGTGTAGAGGCGCTGAGCCGCAGTTTGAGAAGGCGGATAGGCAGGTGATGATGAGGTGGGCGAGGGAGGTTGTGTACAAGGGAGATGAGAGTTTAAGGTTGGAGGCTATTGAGGGTTGGCCGACGAAGGGGTATACATGGACGGCACTGTAGAATTGTAAAAGCTGATTTCGGGAGTTGGGATGCTCCGGGGTAGGATACAATTGTGTCTTCGGATACGATGAGTGTTTGGGTGGCGTCAATGGTGTAGTCGCATTGCCAAGAACGTCGTTCAACCACTCCCATGGGTTCAATCGCGCCGACTTGCATGGACTGGGTGGATAGTCCTTTTGTTTATTTGTGTGGAATGTTTGTACAAACATCGACTAGTAGGCAAGCTGTTCTTGTGAAATCTCATGGGTTGAGAGTTGTAGGCAATGTTTCACTTAAGGGGTAGAAAAGATTCTCTGGTAGTAGACCTTCAGATAGAGTATGAAACATGGAACATGCATTAATGGGGTAGTGGTAACCTGGGTTGTTGCCATGTCCTGGAAAAGATGTGTCGACCCGCCGGGGGTTCGATTCCCCCTTAATGCATCGTGGCTCACAGCCAAGGTTTCATACACTAACATTTTGCTCCTTAACATTGCCTGGTTCTTTCAACAAGAAATGTCCACATGCGCGCAAGAACACACCTGACAACGGCGAATCCGTGACATGGCGTGCGTTAATGGGTCAGCATGCCCAACAACGCGGCTCGAAACACCCTTAATGGCTAATAAGACTTTGGTTGTCCTGCTTTGTGGCCAGCAAAGATGAATGGCGGTAATTTCTTGCAAGTCGACTGCTAGTTTGACAAACAATGAATAAATAGGTATGCACAATATATACTGCGGGGGGTCATGAGTGATGGTGTCGTTAAAATGCTAAATCTTCAACTCCCTAAAGCCTCTCACATCGACGCGGCCCGCGCCATTAGTCGTCCACTCGCCTTCCCCGTCCATCTCCTCCTGCTTCACGCGGACCTGCACCTGGCTCGGATGGCGCCCCCCTGGTATACGTATGACGCCCGCGCCCGTACCTCTCGGGGGCGGACTCATCAACTTGTACTGTTTCGGCAGCCCAAGCTTCTTGCGCTGCCGCCTCGTCAACTTTGGCTGGGGCTCTGGCGAGGAAGACGAGGAAGATGAGGACGAGACGCGTCCGGGAGAGTCGGGGGAAAGAGAGGGCGTCTCTTCTTCCTCGCTCAACTCGCTCAGTTCGGCGTCGAGATCAAGACATGCCTCGCGAAGACGACGGCGTTTACGCTCTTCACCTTCGTTGCCCGTGACGAGCGTCCGTTTCGGAGAGCGCTCCCACCGCTCCTCGGATATGGCAGGCGGGGCGGGAGTAGCACGTGAGGAAGGAGTCGGTGATGGGGAAGAGGGCGGAGTTGGCTTGGATGAAGATGGGATGGGGGTAAGAGGGGAAGATGAAGACGAGTATGGAGGTGACGATGATGACGATGATGAGCTGGGGGCTAATGAGGAAGCTTGGGACGATGGAGGTACGGAGGATGCTTGAGATGATGGCGGAGCAGACGATGAGGGGGAATCTGGCAGTTTGAGCTTGATCCTTGTGATCCTCGGTTTCTTTGTCGAGGCGGCTTTAAGCTGCCGCTTTTTCGCGCTCTTGGTTGAAACTAGAAACGCGTGAATTAACGTTAAGAAAGACGCGAAAAGACAGACCCTGTTCGTCCTCTGGTCCAGGCGACTCGACGACACAAGGCAGACCGGCATGGGGTCCACGCAGATTGCGGATGCTCGAAAAGTGCTCCCAGTCGTGGTACGCCACATACAGCGTCGGCCCGCTCTCTGGCTGCTCAAACAGGCCACCAGTGTCTTCCTCTTCCTCCAGCTTTACTTTCACCTTGACCTTCCTACTCCTCCGCGGCTCCAAATCTTCTTCCTCCTCCAAGTCAGGCTCCTCCTTGACCACAGCCTGGGGAGAGATGACATAGACCAAACCTGGCTGGATGACCTTTACGTGGCGCTGCGTCAAATGTGCAAACGCCGATAGCTCCATGTGTCCGCCGTACGTCGCTGTGATCTCCTCAGCATCGTCGATATCAACGCTTGAGAGACGTACCATTCTGCCTCATACCCCTCAAATAGCCGTCCATGCCGCCCTTTCCAAATTCGTCCACATCGACAAAGCCCTCGTAGCGCTCGCGGTGTGCGTCGATCCAGTCGCAGATATCTTGGCGCACCTAGACCCGCGTCTAGAAAGCAGAGGCGGCACATGTATACACACACCTTGCCATGCATCCCCTCGCTCCCGTAATATTGATCACTAAGCGCCCGAAACAGGCAGTTGCCATCCCCCACCGTCGGCGCAGCGTACAGCCCCAAAGACCGCAGCTGAGACGTCAGCAGCGGCGTCGACGAGAGCGGGTCCGTCACCAGCTGTGCTCGGTCCATCAGCACCCGCCCCCTCCCACACTGTAGGGCGCACCTTGTTCCCGCTGCTCCGCGTAGACCTCTTTGGCCGCGTTTTCGCCATCGTCCCTAGTATTTCGAGTGCGCGAGAGAGATCTAATCCGAAATCGTCTTGATGGTCGTACAAAGCAAACCACCATCATCACCGCTACCCGGGGTCTCGGCACTCAAACACGGGACCCCGGACACTGCCTCCTCCGACTCCTATTACGCGTAAGGTTCGGGTCAAGCAAAAAGTATGTCAACGTGGATTTCTTACGCATTGAGAGGGAATCGAACCCCAGTTGCCAATTGGTCTCCTTGCGGTGTGCCGTGACCACTACCCAACGAATGCTTGTCCGCAGATCTTACAATTGATTCCTCAATCCGAGATTTTGAGACATTGCGATCATGAGAGCGATGTACATGCCTTTTTCCGGACAGGATGTATTCCCTTCTTCTCAGCATCCTCTCAGCGAACATTTGCATTATCAAAGGCTCTGTAGGTGCTCCTCACTGCAAAGGTATAGGCATTAATGGGGTAGTGGTAACCTGGGTCGTTGCCATATAGAACTTTATGTGATACTTGTTTCGACCCGCCGGGGGTTCGATTCCCCCTTAATGCATGCTTTTCGAGGGCTATGATGTTTTCGCTAGCTGCGTTTTTGCATGTCACTTCGATCTATCGTCTCTAAGCGCATGCCATCTTCCACTCCTCCCGGATTGATGCGAATACTCTATGACATCTCAAGGGTCTTGAGTTGAAACCTATTCTAGACTTGCGCCACACCGGCTGACTAGATCCAGGAGACTCAACAGCTCACCTCACCGATATCCTCCCTGTCATCTTAGCCGGTCAATTACTACAGCAGACAAGAAGAACTGCTCAACGCAGATCATGGCTCTCGTCTCACGCCAGAAGCCCATGATCGCTGAACATTCCACATGTCCACGCGTCAATCTCCCTTCCATTCCTCGTTGAATCGAACACTAAATCAATGAACAGGAAGTCGATGAATGCTTCTGGCGTAATTAAGAGGCAAGACGCGGAGATGAAGACAGTAACCACTCTCCAAGCGAGATCGTCGTCGTTCTAGCCACGGCACCGAGAATGGAAGCGCCCCGCCTACTTAGTTCCTCGATCGCGCCGGTAAATTAAAGCTGGGCTTTGACTTGAACCACCACCACATCGCACTGCTAATTTCACTTTCTTTCCCTACACCCTTTGATATCGCCTTTCTTTTCATTGCATCTTTTTCTGGTCTGGACGACGAACGAACATACACTACTTACTCGCCTTTACTGTCGAACGAAAAAACTCGAAAAACACAGGACGATGAACGCGTATATACCGTCCACAGATCCCAAACGCACGCGCGCGCCCTGTCCAGGTCTCAACGCACTCGCGAACCACGGATACATGTACGTCTTTTTTACTTCTCATCTCCCTTATCTTCCAATCCCTAATGCGCCCACGCCCATAGCTCCCGAACGGGAACACACATCCCCTTCCTGCTCCTCCTCGACACCATGATCTCCGTCTACAACCTCTCTATCCCGCTCGCGCTCCTCCTCATGATCCCAGGGTACATCCTCTACGGACGTTTGTCCTTCTCCCTTTCTTCCTCGTCTCCCAATCCATCCTACACCCACATATCCCCATACCTCTCTAAGCTGCTCCCGATCTCATGGACACTCGACCTAGCGTCCACATCCTCCTTTGGGCTGATCCGCGTAGCGCACACGGCGTCGTTCATACACCCCAACGTGCCGAGCCACGCCCCCGACCCGGCGATGTTTGAGGACTTTGTGCAATGCGCGGGCGCCACGGGGTATGTCACTCGCACGGATCTCGCGGCGGTGAGGATTCGTAGAGAGGAAAGGTGCACGTTGACGGCGTTGCATGAGGAAATTGCGTTAGGCGAGAGTGGGCTTTTGTGGGAGCTGCTCAAGGTCGATGTTGGTGGTGGTGGAAAGGGAATTCCGATTAAGGCGCTGAGGGTGTTTTTGGTGGAGGAGCGGCTTCCGGAGGGGATTGGGAGAAGGAGGGTTAGTCTGTTGGGGCGAGGGAGGTGGGAGGTGAGGTTGGGAAGATTATGAGGTTGGAAGGTGGGGTGTGATGTGGACGCTTTTTAGCGACGTTTTTTTTTTATTCCGGCGTGTGGTTACAGCGTCGATGGACTTTTTTGTTACTCGTATTATCCACATTTTGGACGTGACAGCGCCTTTCTGAGATATTGAGGCGTAAGCGGGAGCTCTTAACCGATTACACTTGTTTACGCTGTGGTCTTAGTCTTCAACTAGCACCACCGTAGTGTCCGTTAGCATGGTATCGTCTAAATTGACATAAACGCATATGCACTACCTATAGCTATCAGCCGACCTTGCTCATCATTCGTTAGTTTAGAACACATTCAGAGTGATCGTGTCCTGTACACCTATATCCACCCCATGACCTCTTCGTCCTCGTCTTCCCTCTGCGGTCCAGACGACCAAGGTGTGTAGTGTGGGGCTTCTATTCCCGGATATACTTATCTCGCAGGTTGATTCTACCTATCCCATATCTTTGTGCATTGGAATCAGTTCGTCGACGTACCCCTTTAATCTACCTAACGAAGACTGACTTGATTCAGCTCGAACATGATAAATTACCGAGCCCCAGTCGTATATCAAAACACCATGGGCCTCACACGCATCCTCAGGGGCTGTACGTCCATAACATACATGTTTGCTTCGTTCTGGGTACGTGCCATCCACGCATACTTGTTCACGTAGCCGCGTCGGGAGACGCCCCCTACTCATGATATCCGCCACAGGTCTCTCCATCTGCCTCCATCCTCATCCCAGCCCGCAGCATACGGTGGTGTTCATATTCCAGATTATTCCTCGTCGGAATCCCCATCGCTTTACATATTCCGTTCCAAGTTGCTCATATTGACACTCTACCCCGCAGAAATCAGGACAAAGCGCTTCAAACTCACAAAGTATACTAGCGGCACCCAACACCGCCAAAGATGATAAACACGCGCCAGTTTGATGTTCTGGATCGCAGGCGGGGCATCTCTACGACGGCGAACACGCACATCCAGTTGAAAAAGCTGGATATGCGTGTGTAACAAAAGTCAGCATACTGAATGGTTGAATGATACATAGTTTTTCCCTGAAACGCAGCGGGGTCTTGAGCTCGAAGCGATTGACCATATCTTTTAAAAGGGAGGTATCACGGGCGGGGTTTGGCAGAGGAGGGGGAGGACGGTGATTGGGAATCCTGTGGCAGAAGCTGTTGAGGGGGAGATACGGGAGAGGAGGATCTGTGAATGATAACCACGTACTACTTACTAGACGTCGTCTTTCCCAGCTGTATTCTGTTTCATCATACATCATGTATTCCTCTTGCACCCAACTTGGCCGTTCATCTTTAAAATACTTCTCGGGGAAACATAGATGCTAGACAACGTCAAATGATCATGTATTGAAGACCGCAGGATCGCCTTGGCATGAGAGCAACGGCAACTCGATGTCGATTACGAGTGGTCAATGTCAGAATGTGATCGTGATAGTGAAAAGTACATCAATGAAGGTGGCAATCAATAAAAAAAGCACTATGAAAAATTTGCTGTCAGTAGGAAAACCTCATCGATAACGTTCGTACATAAGGATAAAAAGATGCTCCATCCACATTGGCGATGCATTAAGGGGGAATCGAACCCCCGGCGGGTCGATATTCCGTTCCAATTCACATTTATGGCAACGACCCAGGTTACCACTACCCCATTAATGCGTACAATGGCATTTGGGGCAGTTTTGAGATTCTGAAGCCATCATTCACAACAAAAAGCAGCATAAAGAACAATAACATGTAAATAGGGTATACTACGAATATCCCAAAACGACACCCAACACATCCTTCCACCCCCTTCTCACAATAACCTTAACGCCCCTCCCTCTCCCTCTAGTCCTCACCTCACTTTCAACAGGAACCAACACCTCCTCGACTCTCCCTGCGCCACCATACTCCTTGCCCAACCACTCAACATACCTCGCATCCATCGCGCTCAGCGGACCAAGCTCCATCGCCGCCAGATCCTTGGCGGTAAGAACGACTTCCTCCGTAATCGGCGGGGGCGGCATGAGCGTCTCCAGCGTCGCCAAATGGAATTTAAACAGCGCCTCCAACGCCGCGAGGAGCTGTGCGCCATCACCCACTAACCCCGTAGGACTCATCGGTATTGTGCCGAGGAGCGGCGCGCGGGAGCTCGTCGAACTGGTCGACGGCCGACCTTCGATTCCAGCGCCGACTTGTCGTACAAGCGGGACGTCGTCGGCGCCTTCGAGACGCACGCCGCCGCCCCAGAGTGAGGCGCAGAGCATCCAGACGTCTTCGTAGATGCGCCAGACGTCCCATGGGCCTTTGTCACGGTCTTCCTGCCCTGCTAGGGAATTAAACACGCGGACATCACTCCATGCCCAGCGTGCACCTGACAGTTTCCACTTTCCCGCTGACCTTTCCTCTCCTTGTTCTTCCTCTTCTCCAGCTGTCGCACTGCGGATGAGTGATGGGGTATACATGCGCTGCTCGGAGACGTCGAATAATATATCGTAGCATTGTGGTTTTTCGAGGAAGATGGCGTCCGTGGTACATGCGATCCACGATGCCGATGAGGCCGAGACGAGTCGTGGAAAGTCCATTAGACCGACGCATCCGAGGACGCGCGCTGGGGCGGGGGATGCCGCGGCGAGGAGATGACATAGCGTACATGCGGCATGTATAGGTGTAGGAGGCGGTGGGGTAGATGAAGAAGAAGAAGGTATTGAGGTAGCCTTGGACATGGACGCGTACACCAATACCCTCCGTCCACCCACCACATGTTTCGCCAGCGTGACAAAAGCCGGTCCGACTGTGCGCAGAACGTGTGGGAGGTGCTGCGCCGGATGCTCTGCCTCTTCCTCATCTAGTCTGCCGCTCTGCTCGTCAAACCATCGTTTCGCCAGACCCCAATCCGCCTCTCCCAGCTCCTTGTCTCCTTCTCCCAGCATGTCCATGTACAGCTTTTCCAGTTTTTTCCATCCGTGTGTCGGTCGCCGTGTGATGATGCCTAGCGCACCTAGTCGCGACCCACGGTGTCCCGGTGCATTCGTCGCTCGTCGTCGGAATACAGCCAATCCATTATGTTCTGGCGGGGACGTGAAATATCTATATCCGCGTTAGTAAGCCTACAAGAACAAGGCATGCAGCGCACATAACGTCCTCGTCGCGCTGATGTAGTCCACTAGGTAGTGCGCTAAATTCTACATTGTCCAGTGATACGGAATCTGCAGGCCGTGGTGTTAGCAATAGCAAAATAGGACCATAGAAGCACGCACCATCCGTTGTGACGCTCCAGTCAACGATGTTTCCCTTGGTAGGATGAAACGAGACGTGGAATATAGCAACTGCAAGGCTTGTGAGCATCGACCCGCGAAAGACGATATATAATGCACCTATATCCCTCGATGACATGTTATTGCTGTTGGTCCTGTGGTCCGTCGTCTATCAAAGGGTAGCCTCTCCTGCTACAAGGTATAAAGGTATCGCTGCGCCGTCGTTCGGCTTCTCGCTCGTTATGGTCCGTTGACAAGACCAAGCTGGGCACTGCAACCGATCGTCGGCTTCCGGCTCGCATTCCGACTACTCGTTCCTGTTCCTCCTTCTGTCTTTACCCGTAGATTTCAACCGCGCTCAAGATTCGGGCATTAATTGGGTAGTGGTAACCTGGGTCGTTGCCACATTCGCACCGTATCGACCCGCCGGGGGTTCGATTTCCCCTTAATGCAATTCTTTGATGCTATCCGTTTTTTACCACTTGCTGAGCTGCTACAACGTCGTGGCGAACCGCATTGCTGTATGTCTCAACTCGGTTTCCAGAGCAGATGGTGCACCGACCAACCTACGCTCTGAACTATGCAAGCCGATCAGACATGCTCGAAAACACCTGTCCAAGCCGCAAGTTCTACTGGTGCATCAACTGTCAAGGCTGATTTTTGTAATAGTGTCGCAATCAAAAAGTCAGACACGCACTCGCCGCGCTTAGATATACGCAAAGGATCCGTAGACATCCCAATACTTGATATAGCTGACCCAGTGGTAAGTTAAGCGGCGGACACCGATCTGCAAAGTTGCCAAAGCTGTTTGATCCCCGCGCGCGATATCTATGGCAAAGTTTCAGACCAAAATATCCTAGAGTACGTGCTTGTGGTCCATGTTGTAGTTGTCCTGGACCCCGTGTAAGTGTTGGTTTGCTAGAGGAGTGTGCTGGCTAGAAAAAGCGTGCTGCGTAAGAGGACAGAACGTAACACCCCATGCTATGTCCGGCTACGACGAGCTGTATACATATCCACAACCCGGGAGGATCCGATCCAACGCCTTGAGGCGAGAAGGCTTTGAGTTTGATTCTGCAGTCCACGGAATAGTAGTCGAGACAAACCATTCCAAGTGACCGTTCTTACGTGCTCGCCAACCTCTCATCTTCCCACCCTCTGAGTCTCACTCATTCATAATACACTCCTTAGTACCTTCACTCGAGTAGACGTATCGCAGTCCCAGAGCTCCCGGAGCTCAGCTTAAAATCAAAGACAGTAACGTGACAATGGTAAACTTTCTCTCATTACCAAGTGGGAAGCGCTAGGATATGTGAATTCATGCCATGCTGCTAGAGAGATGCCTTGCTTTGACGCAAATGATAGGTACAGGCTGGTACAGCGCCAAGGATGGCTATACTGAGGTTCGTGCTATTCATCTTTGCGGTCGTCGTTGTTAGCGTCGAACAAGGCAACGCCCTTGAACCCCGACGATGGTGCCTTACTTTGTGCCACAAAAACAAGCTCGTCCGAGACTCTATGGCTTGCAGTGTTCAGAGTATGAGTATGAGTATGAGTATGAGTTGGGGCTGCTCACTCATTAGCGACAGAGGTGAGTCCGTGCTCACCCGTTCCGGCCCGCGCTCACGGTCGCCAATGCAATGTCACATTTGATTGGGCACACAAGTTGCCGTCGCCTGCATACACTACATGACGAGATGACGAACGACTATCAGACCCCATGATAGCCATCCCATTAAGCCGGATTGATTAACAGAAAATATAACAACATCCATTGTCCGTGACTATCCCAAACCCCGCAACGAGAGTCCCATGTACTCATCCGCGTCCATGTCATCTGTTACTTCGTCACCATTGAGTGCCTCATCAGTGGTCGTCTACTATCACACACACGGCGTATCTGTCTTGCTCGTCCTGAAACAGAACCCGCAGACCAAGAGAGAGATCCTCGCGCGGTTCAAACCCGAATTCTCCCTGTCAACACCCGCGACAGCCCGTAAACAGCCTCCTATGTTGTTCTAAGGCCACCCCTTGTCGCTCCAGCAGCGCACGGCTCACCAAACGCCGTCGCCCTGGCGAGGAGTGCTATCCCAGTCGAGGCGGACATTGACACTTGCAAGGGGACACCCACGCAGTTGTCCTGACGAGCAGCGGCGCTCTCGTCGAGGTGCACTGGTGCGACTGACCATGCACGTTCATCCAGACAGCCAACAAGCCAAGATGACACTCACGCAGTCATCCTGACGAGCAGCGGCGCTCTCGTCGAGTGCAATGTGATGTGCAGATGTAGCAAAGAAAGTAGTAGGCTTCCTCTCAAGGTGGTCCTCGTAAGCCGCAGCGTCGGCCATTGCTTGCTGATGTTGATATGGAAGCTTGTCTTCGTGGATAGCCATTTGTGGGATAGGCGTGACTGAGGATACACGTCTAGTTCCACACGAGGTAAAAGGATAAGTTGTTGTTGTTTGGTTCGTTCGAGATGATTGGGTTGGGTGGTAAGATTGTTCTGTGCTACTGACACGAGTTCTGCAAGCTTATATACAAGTCCAGAGTCCTGTGTAAGTAGTAATAGTAAATAGGTAATACTGTAGTGTTTCGACCGCAAATTCACATAACGGGTCACGGGGGTCTTTGAAGTGAAGCTATATATACATCATAACGGGTCACGGACCACTTTGGTCAGGCACGAGCCTCCAAATAAGGAAATTTCAGGTCCCGCTATAAGCGGAACTGTCCAAAAAAGGCAATTTAAGGGTCTGTGAAGCTGTTCGCTGTAACTTCAGACCATAATGGGTCACAGGCTGTGAAGTTACGGTTGAAACGCTACAGTATACTACGGAAAGCAATGAGAGAAACTACAAGAAGCTACGAGCTATAAGTACATTACGTGTCCGTTCGTGTTTAGACTGCGAGTGGCTGTGTCCATGGGTCGAGAATCCTGTCCATATTCAGTAACTCGCTCCTGCCCGTCACATGCGCCCTCCAAGACTTGTGATTGGATCGGAAGTCTTCCTCAATTACCTCCGAAATGCACCTGCCTTCCGCTCCCACTCGCGATCGCAACCCCAGCAGACGACATGTTGTCGTCGTCAAAGTACCTCTTGGAGTATGCATCCCTACCATGGGCAGTGGCACGAGCACCGGCAAGTCGGTTCAGGGCTTTCTCACGCTTCTTCTCTTCTCTCTTCGTCTTCCACTTCAACTTCCATTCCTTCTCGCGCTTGGCCTGATCAATGACATTCCACAGGAGGAAATTAATGGAATCCTCTCTGTCTCTCCGCTCCAATTGCTGATGGAGGAACCAACCATTTGGCATACAAGTGGTGCGACGATCACGGGGAGGAGATGGAGTATGCCCAGTTGCCGAGTAAATTTCAAAGCCGACATCGTCGTCGTCTCCAACGACGGCAGCAGCGGATGAGATGGACTCTGTGATGGATTCAGGGATGGTATCAAGGTTGATGGTCATGGTGTCGTTGTATGGAAGGAAAGCATTGGAATCGACGAGAAGGCGAGGACAGTTAATAGTACCCTCAGGTAAGTTGACAGTAATGAATCCGTCACCCAGGTTAAGACTATTGTAGGTGTCGGCGAAATGGAAGTAGGCATTGTCAAGAAGAACGCGAGGATTATACCCGTTTGCGTTTAAATCCTCGTTGTTCTGGAGGCACCTCTGAACCGCCGCGTTGTCAACAACAACGCGAGTAGCGCCATCACCACGAGGACGTAGTGAATAACCGCCACCATGTCAATAGAAGTCCGGGTGGTGAAATCCATACAGACGTGTCGCCGTGTCGACCTGTTCCGGTTCCACCGTCGCATAGCGCAGTGGAGCCATTGTTGGGGTTGCGAGATCATTGGGAAACGGTGTTGATGGGCGAGGGGGCTGCATGTGTTGACAAAGAGATAAAGGAAGTGGGACGGAATGGTGGTAAATTGGGATTGGAGAGCTAAGTAGGGCATTTGGTGAGTTTATTGCCTCTAATTGCTCTTCCTGCTCGTATTTATATTCACGAACAGCTTCATTACACGTTTTAAATGTAATTCCACTTGTGTATAGTATTTGCACATCCTCTCCGTCTGCGGTATCTTCGCCGCCCATCTCTCGTAATTGCGACATATCGGAAACTCCCAGCGCCTCAAAATAATCTTGCAGCGCATCCAGGTGCTCAGTTTGCGCCACAGGGAGCCAAGTCACGTCTCCGGCCTTCCACTGAACCTTGAACATAAGGTTTTGGCCTTTACCAGAATGGGTTAGGATTTTATCCACTGCCCACTCGCCTTGGAGATCCTCAAACGGCGCCACTTGGTTTTTGGCGCGTCCAGGGAACAGCCAATCATTGTTAGGGTGATGTACACAAAGGTAAGACGCATGGAACACGTTATGAACGCCGCGCTTACTCAAAATTGCAGGAATATCGATCCTGAAGGAGGAGTTCTTGAAATCTTTCAAAATTTTGTAAGGTCCAATATACTTGGGTACCAATTTTCGAGCTAATCCTTTTGGGAAGGTGATATTCTTTGTAGATATGTATACCAAGTCTCCTTCGCTGAACGGGACAGGTATTCTTTTCCTGTTCGCGTCACATGTCTGCTTGACGCGCGCTTCCAATATACTGTTGTGCACCGCCATTACTGCCTGTTTGATTCGCTGCGCAAATACTCGGACTGCGGGATATTTGTTTTTGCTAGCCGAATCCCACAGCATGGATCTCGGAACTCAACCAGAGTTCAGGAAAAACGGTGAGTATCCTGTTGTTTCTGAATGGGCTAGATTAATTGTGAATTCAATTGCAGGTAATCACGCGACCCAGTCCTTCTGATCTGGGCGTATGCACTGCCGTAACATCTGGCCTATGGTTCGGTTTGCGCGCTCAGTCATACTGTCAGTTTCCGGATGGTACGCGCTTGACATTCTGAGTTTTGTGCCGATTAGTTTGTGTAAGTGGTTCCAAAAGGTACTTGTGAACAACGTGTTGTGGTCACTAACTATTGCTTTAGGCAGGCTGTGGTGTTTGTACACCTCCGCAAAGACAAGTTCCGCCACATTGCGGGCCTTGTAATTTATTCGACCCGGCACAAGATGAACCATGCCAGTTAGGTGGTCAACGATGACGGCTAGCATGTCAAACAACCCATCCCTGTTTGTTGACACAGGTAACGGGTCCATGAAGTCAATACCAATTACATCCCACGGTTGTACGGGCGGGTCGAGCGGGTGCAGAAGTCCATATGGTTTCTGGTCACTTGACTTTGTTTTCGAGCAGGTAATGCACAATTTGCAGTACAATTCAACGTCTTTAACCATTGTTTTCCACCAGACGTACTCTTGCAAGTACAGCAAGGTTTTCCGACTGCCAAGGTGAGCAAGTAGTGAATGTGCTTCATCAATCACTATTTCCCTGATACTTCTCTCTTTCAGGAATAGACCAGGAAGGCATAGAAGCTTTTGCTCGTCG